AATAGCCGGGCGAGGCGGACCCAGAAACAGGGACCTGGTGGGTTCCCCGGTGCCGAGCTCTGTTCTCGAGGACCAGGAGTGGTGAGGACAGGATTTCCACCTCCTGGTCATAATGTCCTTGTGAGCGGACGGGTCTGGTGCAGAACCCGCCGCACCGGATTGTGGACCTGCTCATCTCAAGAAGCTCGGAGGGAAAAAAGAAAAAAGGTAAGTTGCGGAGAGAATCCTGCCCGCTGGGTTCTGATAAGTGGTCGGGTCGTAATGTCAGGATCAGGTGGACAGGAACGAACCCAGTTGGGCAGACAGGACTCAACTCGGCAGATTAAAAAAACTAAATACTTTAATGACGAAATAAAAGGTAACAAAACAATAAGCTGACGTGGCAGCAAAACTTACATGAACTAGAAGACTCAGGGGGGAAACTCAAAAGGACTCAGGAAGCTCAGGGAAGACTCAGGAGATGCAGGAAACATGAAGACCCAACGAATACGACCCGACGAGGAACAACACAGAACAGGAGGTTTATATACAAGGACAAGACAAGACGTGATTACAACAGCTGTGACGAGACAAAGGTGGCACCAATTAAACTGACGAGGAAACACTAGGGAAACAGACACAAACAGAAACAGCAAATGGTACCATCCTTACACCTTGCTCCTTTGTTAGTGGGGACACTGTCTGCTCTCTGGTACAGAGTTCTGATGACTCCTAACTTGTGCTCCAAAGGGTAAATGGTAAATGGACTGTACTTGTATAGTGCCTTTCTATCTTATTTCAAAATACTCAAAGCACTTTACACTACAATCTGTGTCCTCATTTATCCATTCATACAGCACGCTACTAGATCTCTACAAAGCTAATTGAACAAATCATTCTAAAGAGACTAATCAGTGCTTTAGAGCAGCACATTCATACACTGATGGGCCACACATCAGAGGCTATGAGGGGTTCAGTGTCTTGCCCAGGGACACTTCAGCATGTGACTGCTGGTGGGTTCGAACCCCCAACTCTCGCACTGGAGGACGGCTGCTCTAACCACTCAGTCACAGCTGCCCTTGAGGGTGATGGGAGTCAAACTGCAAATACTGCTCTGTGTAGGTGGGTTTGCGGTACACCTCAGTTTGCAAATGTTCTCTATCAGAAACTGAGACCTCACAGTCCAAGAAAACTAACCTGCCATTTTTTACATCTTCTTGTGTGAACTGTATATATTTATCCACAGAGTTGACGTGGTCAGTAAAATGTTGGACTTCCTGAGATTTAATTTTAACCCAGGTGTCATCAACATACCTGAACCAATGACTTGGTGGTGTCCCTGAAAAGGATGTCTCACGCATCCTTGCCACAGTCTAATAGACAAACCGTAGTGTATCCTAATTCAATTCAATTCAGTTTATTTATATAGTGCCAAATCACAACAAAGTTGTCTCAGGGCACTTTACAGGAACATTCACATACATAAAAGCCAATTAGTAAAGTTCTCTATCTAAGGTTGTTTTCACACCAGATAGTCCGGTAGACTCGGTTCAGTTCGGGACCAATATTCATGACCTTTTGTTACATTTGAGCTGGTGAGTTTGCATTCACACTGCACTGTGCAGTCGAGTCAACCTGTTGAACCAACCTGTTCCCCCACTCGCCTGTGGGGGCGCTGCACCAAGTACTACCGAAAGAAACGACACAAAAACCTCTGACAATACTTCTTCTTCTTCTTCTTCTTCTTCTGGAAATACAAACAAAAACGGGAGTGGCATCAAGTTTTAGCAGTTATATTTTGTCTTTTTTTTTTTAAATGGACTCAGCATGAATAGAAAATGAGGCAGGAGACTATGAAGAATGTTGTTTTTCACACAAGGCAGCTGACGGCTCCATATGAGGTAAGAGAAATGCGTGCTTGTTTGTCCTGCAATGTACTCCACTTCTTGCTTGTGGAGCGGGCCTGGTCTGATTACATTCACACTGTACTCGAACCGTGCTGGAGTTTTTTTCTACCGGACCGAGACCTAGGTTTTAGCCCGAGTTCACCTTTTTGTTCTGTGACAGAGTTCGATGGCACGTTCACACCTCCCCAAACGAACCGGACTTCCTAAGAAAACGAGCTAGAGTATGATTAAAGCGGACTAAACAGTGCTGGTGTGAATGCACCTTAAGGAGACAAGTTGAATCTTGGCTGTGTTGCAGTCTCCCATCCTGAGCAAGCACAGTGGCAACAGTGGAAAGGAAAAACTCCCTTTTAAATGGAAGAAACCTCCAGCAGAACCAGGTTCAGGACAAGCGGCCATCTACCCCTTTGCCCCTTTTCCATGGGACAGGAACTGTTATTTCATTGATTTGAATCCAGAAATACAAATTAGCTCATCCAGCGACTGTCTAATTGTATCCTGAATTAATCAATTGAAAGAACACTCTTCTTTTTTTATTATCATTACTATTTTAGAATATCTTGATAATCAAAGTGTGTTTAGTTCATACCATTTCTAAATGCTGAAGTGAACCACTCATTTTAAATCAACTGTGAAACAGTATTAATGATTTTTAAACCTCATTTAAATTAGAAATCAAGTTAAATGTCTATTTACAAAGTAATTATGCATTTTGATCTTCTGTCTGAATGAGAAGTCAGTGATGTCGGTCGAAAGTCAGAGACAGTCAGAAAACAAGTTATTGGAACGAAGTGTCTTGTTTTTAAACCTAGCAGACGGTAAATAACTTCAACGGCATCTGCGTTTGTCTCACTTCGCCATAACATTCCTCTCTCTGTACTAATCGTTCCTAAACATTCCTGCAGCCTCTCTTGACTTTTAATAACCCTCTGACATCACTGAAACACCCCCCTGTTGGTTGTTTCAACCAATCAGGAAGTACCAAGTGACCGGAAGTGAGGACTCTTTAAAAGTCAACACTTCCTGGAACTAGTCAGTCTTTTACCGGAGTCTTCCTGGAGTCTTTCATGGGGTCTTCTTGGAGTCTTCCACTTTTGAGTGGAATCTCTGACTGTGAACTCACCCGGGCGTAACGCCTACAACTTCGAAGGGAGCTTGTTCTGTTTACCGGAGTAAACCACACAACTTCTGACAATGACCAGCTGCTTTAACTGGAGACGCTGGAAAGGAAGTGTGCATAGGGACATCTATACCAGAGCTGATCCTCATCTGCAAAGGTAAAAAGACGTCACGAGTGTCGCGCACTAAGTGTACCGGAGGGTTGAGCTCGTGTTGGACGAAGTGTGCTAATTCTGGTCAACAAACATACATCTTCCTCCATCCATCTACTTTAAACTTCTCCATTCCTTCCTTTAAACCTTTCTATTTCACCAGTAAATCAATCTAGATGCCTTCAGAAATGTTCTGTTGTCTTGTTAGTAAAGCGTGCCAAGTTTTTATTAATCAGAACCAGATCAGCAAATCAATGTGTACATGTTTTGATGTTAAATTTTGATTCTGTTAAATAAATGACCGCATTTATTCTGATGGGTCAAAGATAAAATAAACTGTGAGGATTGTTTAATCAGTCTCATGTCACTGATTAAACAATCCTCACAGTTATCTCGGTCACATGGCATTAATTTAACTTGAAAAAGAAAGAATCCGTTGTAATTATCAATTAATATTCTTTGTGCTTGAACTAGCTTTAAGAATAATTAATTAGGAGTGAAGAGACAGTTAATCTGTCCCCATCTTCACTACAACCTTGTGTTAACCTGCATATGACAAATAAGCATAACCTTAGTTAAGCATTAACCTTTAATTTAACCATTAAGCATACGATGTAATTACAGAAAATTGAGGATTTACCTGCAGTTATTTTCGTAGACATGAACATGTGATAGCTACTTCCTGTTTATAACTTGTGATCAGCTGATGGGGTCGGTCCCCGGCTTTTTACATGTTTTACAAACTCCGTTTAATTTTTGAAAATGAATAAACTGTATCCCAGCCTCTAAACGCTCAAGGTAACACGTGTCTGGATTACCAGTGACACCGTTTAACCATTTTTTTCTGGTGATTTTTCACAAAACTCTGACTGTAAAGCGTCCAGGCTGCAGCCCCAGCTCTGCAGGTAAGGGACATTTACCTTCGGGACATATTGAGATTATCGATTGGTCATTTGCTGACACACCTACTGGATTGATTGACAGGTTGCTTTACAGATCCAACTTGTGGGGAAAAAAAAAAAAATACAAGAGCTGCAGCCCTGCGGTGGAGACGGGGCAGCCCAGCAGCGGTAACGTGTTCTGTGTTTATATGTTGCTAATAAAAAGTTCTAAGAAAAAAAAATCAATAAATAGGGAGCGCTGGCCCTGCAGCCCACAAATCAGACCGGCCCACTGGGAAATCTCCAGGCCATCCCGATTGGCCACTTCGGGCCTGTCTCCAGGCCAGCGGTCACTCTTTCAGGGATGAAGATGTTCACATCCTGGACAGAGAGGAACGATGGTTTGAGAGAGGAGTAAAGGAGGCCATCTTTGTGAAAAGAAATCGTCCATCATTAAACGGGGCGGAGCCTCTGGGTTCAACTGTCCCCCTCTTACAATGCTGTGATTGCTAGTATCACTCAGCCCCCTGTGAATAGTAAACAGCCATCAGTGTGCTAATGATCATTTGTTAGGTTGATGGTCCTCCTTGATTATGTGAGCAGCTGGTTTTGACTGTCATCAGCAAACTGGTTGATCCACTCTGAGACTGAGTTTGGTGCAGCGCCTCTGACTGAAGAAGTATATTAGATAAAAGACAAAATGTTTCAACAAAAATAATCCATCCAGAGGACCTGACTTAACCTTTTAGATGGAAAAGACAAGTTTATAATATTACAGGAAGCTACAATTCAGTTCTGTTAAGCACATTGTTTAAGCTGTTGTACAGGGTGAAATTATGACCAAGAGGCACTGCAAGTTAATCCCTTACTACTGGAACACAACATGTAACAGAAGAACTAGACAAGAAATTAATAAATCAACATCTTTATTGTTTGTAAATGATTCACTTACAATAAATGCCATTAGTAGACTATAATATTTTTAACTTTTGAACATTGGCTCATTAAACTTAATTTCACACAAAAGTTTGAAGGTTGTGTTGCTCTCCAACGGGTACTCCAGACCTAATTATAACCCATGATCAGCATGTCTCATTTGTTAGATCATCAGTGCATTGTGTATAATGACAACCTTTATTAACATAAATTTAGCAGTTTTCAACCAGTCAGTTTCATAAATAAAATCCTCATCAAGGAGTTATACAGAAAATAAACAGCCAGCAAAGATGACACCAATAGCCTGTTAGCTGGAGTCTCTTTTTTACTCTTACAGGTGATCTGACATTAAACTGGTGACTGAAGGTCAAATCAGCTCCTCCATTATTAGAGCAAGAACATGGCACAACTCTTTAGCCTGAAATAGAAATTAACACAATGAATTAGGCACGAATGGACATATTATCTAATGCACATTTCACTTAACAGTCAGTTCATAAATGTGTGAGGAGCTGTTACTCTACATGTGCATATTAAACCTTCGCTCCAACATATTGGTGTAAAATCCCAAAATAAAATAGTCAGCAACACAAAGTGTAAATGTTAAATAAAAGAATTACAACATTAAAGAACACAAAACGGAAGAACTATAGATTATTTCACTGATAATTAGAGAGACATGAATGTGTCAAACTACAAAAAAAAAAAAAACTATTGAGAAACATTCAACCAACAATAAAAACAATGTCCACACTTGTTTGTACCTGTTGGAGATGAAGTGTGACTTTTTGGGGTTTAATAGGATTGCCATAGTTGATGTCAACTGCTGGAAGTTTTCCTTGTTTCTTTGGATGGACGGTGCACATAGACTGAACTTCTGCCAGAAGAATGCGAAACACTCGCTCCTGTCAGCACAAAGAGACAAAAAAAATGACCAAAAAATTTAAAAAATGAGGCCCTGCTTTGATTCCCAGTAATTGTGCATGTGCATGCGACCTAACACTAGTCCTGTAACCAAACGTCAAAGACACAAACAACTCTCAGGAGGGAACGGAGGAAAAGGAGCTCTGAGCTCTGCAGCTCGACTTCTGAACACAAACAAAAAAGAGTGAACATCTGTCTAGATGTTCACCCAAATTTGAAATATTTTCTCACATATTTTTGAAATGAATGTTAGATTAGATGCATGGTGGTGGTCGGGGGCGTGGCTTTGCTTTGACGGGGTGCTGGCTGGTCGGCTTGATGTGACATTCAAGGTGGGGGGGGGGGGGTGGTATGTTGTGTGTGGGGGGGTGCATGGGTGGCGTTCTGGGGCCTCTCCGGGCCTGTGGTGTGGGGCTGTAGGGATGCCTGATCATTGGTGCTCTGGGCCAGCCTTCCTCAGCTGCTGCTCCCTGCTGCTCTGGCCCCCGGCCTGGGGCCGGCTTGCGGTCGCTGTCGGGCTGGTGGGGCGCATGGACGGCCCGACAGAGGCTCTGTTGGGCTGTCTCTGTGTGCCTGTTTATGTCGCGGGTTGGGTTTTAGGTAGTCCCCTCTCTTGGATCAGTTTTGGCCCCCCATTTGGTGTGTTGTACTCCCCTCCGGTGGTGAGCCCCCTGCTGCCGGTGCATTGGCAGCTCTCAGCAGCTGGGGCTGGGTAGTGGGGTGTACAGGCCCGCCCTGGTGGCTGCCTGCGGGGCCTGGGTACCCTGGCTCTGTCGGGCCTCTGTTGGGGGGTGGTATGACCTCTGGACACAGGGCTTGGTGTCCATGGCCGGATCCACTCTGGAGGGGCGGGTTGCCGGCGGGGCCTGTTGACTCGTCGCTGCAGCCTCCTGGGGGTTTCTGCATTGTGGTTGTTGGGGGTCGCCCGGGGCTTCCCTTTGCTTCTTTCTCTGGGGGGTGCAGGCATCCCTGTTGGGGGACTCCCGGAGTTTCGGGCTTGGGGGCCCCTGTGTGTCTGTGGTTCTGGTCTTTCCTGTGTTACCTTTGTGTCCTGTGGGGACGGGTTTATGGGTCCCCACATCCACTATTGAACATTTTTATGGAGAAACCTTATAGTGACATCATGCTCACACAGGTGTTTAGATTCAGGTGTTTAACAGATACACACTCAGTTGGGTTTTGGTGGCCATCAAATATATATTGTATTACCATGTACTCTATAAAGTACTTTCTAATGATGTTATAAGTATCATTATATATGTTGTTTGTTGTTGTGGTTTCTCGGTTTTGTCTCGTCTTTTTTTTCCGCAGGTCTAGAGTCAGACTTCAATGATGTTGATTTGTGTTCTCTTTATCCTTCTCTCTCTCTCTCCTCTATTCCTATCTCCTTCTTTACATTTGAACTCTTCTCTCACTTTTCTGCTTTATCTTCTTTGTTTTTCATCCCCGTGTCCATTACATCTGAAACAAGCCCAAAGCAAATTCTAATAAAATTTAATTTATATATCAAGCAGAGCACTAAGGCCAGCCACAATGCTCTGCTTGTGAAAGTAAATCTGTTGGGCATCACTTTGACACTCAGACACTAATTCTAAATGTCACAATGATGGACAGGACAAGGAAAAAAAAAAAGATCAGACTTGTTAAGTAAAAGTTTAATTACAACAACCTTAAAGCTCTGTGGTACATAATCATTCATTAAAGACAAATTAGGCAGGTCCAAAATGAGGATATTAATTAGGAGAAACACATCTTTAAATTTTATCTCATGAAATCATCACTACTTAGAGTTATAAGGATACATGGCTCAACAGAGGACTTTTCATTGGCTACAGTAATAAACCAACACCTGGTTCTTGTTCTGCTCCTGAATAAAACCAAAAAATGTTGAAATGCAAAAGATGTCTAAAACACAAAACAATACAACTGTATAAACAGTGCTTGTGCACTAGTTTGTAAATCTTTATGAACGCCAACAGAATCTAGAGCAATCCAACATGGCACATGGACTTTTTTGGTAATCTACATCAATCTACCTAGAACACAATATGCCTTACAGCGAACATCAGTCTCCCCTCAGTATTCTCTCTATCAGCATGTCTAGAATACACTCAGCACAATGATCACTTGTGCTGTTTCAAACCTGATAACTCATCATCCATCTGTGGTGGCTGTGTTGCAGTGGGAAGGTAGTTTACTTGGGACTAGAAAATCACAGGTTTTAATTCCCAGCCATGCCCAAATATTGTGGTGTCTTTGAGCAAGTCACCTACTCCCCAACTGTTAGGGAGTAGGTGACTTGGTCAGTTAGGGCCTAACTGCTTCTCTGGAATAAATGCCCCATTTGCACTGCTCCTACTCAGCCCTCCATGGAAAACACGATATTCCACAGCAGGTTTTAGCTGATTCTGGACCTTGTTTGGTCCCTGCTTCTCTGGTGGGACCGTGCGAGCGGTCGTGACCGAAACGCAGGACACTGATTGGTCAGGGGGCGGAGTCACTGGATCTCAGAAACTTTTCACAGATCCTCCATTTGTAATTTCTCGGAAAGAGGAGCAGCGGCTGGATCTATTTTTAAGATTTTAAAAACAATAATGACATCGTGTTTAATTCTGAAGTCCAGGCGTTTTTTTGTGTTTGATGATCGACGACATAATTGTAGCGAGCGGAGTCACCACGGAGGATCATACGAGCTGCCGAGCCGTTGAAGCAGGCAAGGCCGGACCCCGAGTCCCGGTCTCGCCTGCTCACAAAGGCCGGATTCAGAGCCCTGGCAGGCGGGAGGACCGGAACGAAGGGTGGAAACTTTTGTTTTGTTGTTTTTATACAATTTATGTATAAAAAAATAATGTTTTTTTAAACAGTGAAGATTAAAAATAAACGGTGCCGGCTTTATCATGAAATCCTGTTTTCACTTTGACTTTATTAACTAATCTGTTAATTAAAGTTAACTCAGCTGAAAAATCATAAAAAGACTAAATTATTGGCTCTCAGGAACATTTCCCTCCAACATGTTTAAAGAAGAGACTTTGGTTCAACTTTATTCTAACCCACAGATGAACAAATCACAAAACAAGAATTACACTTTAAATCACTGTTTGATCGTTCCTGTTGCTTCTAATGAGGAGTGACAACTTTTCTTTCTTATTTCACAGAGTCAGTAAGGTGAGAAACAACACTGATCATCACTGAAATCACTCAAATAAAATCTGTACACAAGAAACTAAACCACATGTACAAAAACATCAAGTGATGAAGAAAAATATGGAATTTTAAATATCATTTTAAATATAAATGTTTTTGTAGGATCTGGTTCATCAGATTGAATTCAGTTTATTTATAAAGCACCAAGTCACAACAGAATCGCCTCAGGCACTGAACAGAAACATTCAAATATAAAAATAATAATTTCACATGATTTATCTGAGGAGCAGACTGATTTGAGTTCATCTCATCACAGAACTCTCCCTCCATGAACTAAAGTCCATTCATTAGCAGGATTTTGGGTTCTGGACACGCCTCCAGAACCGGTCCTGAAGCGCAGTGCAAATCAGGCTGAGGTGAGCAGAGCTGAGAAGGAGCCGTGCAAAATGGGCATTACACAGTTCCACTTGGGTGTATCTCATGTGGAATGGGTTATATGCAGAGCACACATTTTGTCATTATATGACACACAATGATGACTACACACATGTAACGTCACAAATCACATCATACCACAAGTATGTCTCTGGACACTGCATCACACTAAACACACTAAACTTCTGTTATGTTTTCATGGCAGATTACGCATGTGGCTCTGTAGTTCAGCTGATGCCAGTAATAGAGATATGATGTGACAGCATGATGTAACAAGGTTGATGACAAGTGAAAAAATCAAACTCCCAAATCCTTAATATGTCTGCCATGCACAAAGAGATCAGGCTGGAAAGGATTTGTAACAGGTTAGGCTTGTTAAAGATGGAGATGATGCTCTAACAAGGGAGGGGAGTGTGGTGTAAAGATGGAAGGAGAACTTTGAGGGGCCAATGAATGACGAGAATTAAGAGTAGGTCTTAGACACTGTGAACCAGGCATTTGTGAATGTGAGAAAATCCATGAGGAATGAAGAATGTGCTTGTGTCCATTTTTAGGAACAAGGGTGATGTACAGAGTTGTAGCAACTACAGGGGAATTAAGTTGATGAGTCACATGATGAAGATCTGGGAGAGAGTTGTGGAAGAGGTGAATATTTGTGAGCAGCAGTTTGGTTTCAGGAGGGATTTGTGACAAAAGGGTGTCAGCAAAGGTCAAAGGTAAGGTTTACAAGACAGTGGTGAGACCTGTAGTGTTTACTGACAGAGACATGGACAAAAAGACAGGAGACAGAACTGGAAGTGGCAGAAATGAAGATGTTGAGGTTCTCCTTAGGAGTGACAAGGATGGAGACGATCAGGAATGAGATCATCAGAGGTACAGCACAGGTTGAACAACTGGGAGATAAAGTTAGAGAGGACACACTGAGATGGTTTGGACATGTCCAGAGGAGGGACAGTGGTTTGGACATGTCCAGAGGAGGGACAGTGGTTTGGACATGTCCAGAGGAGGGACAGTGGGTATATTGGTAGAAGGATGTTAGAAATGTAGCTGCCATGAAAAAGACAACGAGGACAGATATTGATGCAGTTAGAGAGGACATGAGGGTAGTTGGGGTGAGGACAGAGTGAGATGGAAGACGACTCTTGAAGAGGGAAAAGCCGAAAGAAGAAGAAGTCAGTGGCCAGATAAGTAAAGTAGGACCACACCCCAGCACTGGGCAGCTGTGGCTCAGTGGTTAGAGCAGTCGTCCTCCAATACAAGAGTTGGGGGTTGGAATCCACCAGCAGTCACATGTTGAAGTGTCCCTGGGCAAGACACTGAACCCCTCATAGCCTCTGATGTGTGTCCCATCGGTGAATGAATGTGATGAAGCTCTGATTAGTCTCTTTAGAATGATTTGTTCAATTATCTTTGTAGAGATCTAGTATAGAGCTGTATGAACGGGTACATGAGGCACAGATTGTTGTAAAGAGCTTTGAGTATCTTGATCACATAGAAAGGAGCTGTATAAGTACAGTCCATTCACCATTTACCCCCTGTGCTTTTACCTGATGTGTGAGCACAAACTAACACGTGCTTTCCAAAGAAAAATTAACACAAAAAATAATCTAGGTCTTACCAAAAAGGTGAAAGAGAGTTTCAAGTGAAAAGAAGTAACAAAAGCACTTATTACACACTTAATATATAAAATGACAAAATAATAAAAACACAATGAACTATTATTAATAAAACCTTTCATGGCACGGTGATTGTTTTCACTCATACATGTGGTGCTGAGGGGAATATTTCATCCATTACCAAGATTTTTAAAATGATTACCTGTGTTTTTGGATGAAGGAAAAGTATCTCCTCCTTGTTGATGCTGACCATGCAGGGGGAGGGACAACCACGTTGGCTCACCTTCTGGGCTGTGAACGTGTTGGAGCCAAACAGAGGCAGGCTGCTCATGAAGTCTGCGAGATCAAAATTCAAATAAATGTCATTATTACCAGAGGAATAGATAGGAGGATGTAGAACAGAGTGTGTACACACCGATGAAGCGTATTTTGACATCTGCAGGACTGAGAGCCTGCAGGGCAGATATCTGACTCTGGCAGAAAGGTTGGAGCTCCTCAGCTTTACTGCTGAGTCGGTCCTGGGGGGGCAGGTACGCTTTGAGCTCTGACCTTTAAAGAAAAGAAATAAACAGAGTCACATTAATGTACATACATCTCACAAGTATAGAATAACAAAAAAAGGAGACCAACAGATTTCAGATAGTATTCTGCATGAAGAGTGAAGCCAAAATAAAAAAACTGAGCAAGACAAGGATGAAGATCTGACGACAAGCAACGAAAACAGGAACAGTGTCTACTAAGTGGTTGATGGTTCGTCATGTTTTGACATGCATTACTCCGACTACTAACACTTATTAACCTTATTATGTTCTTTCTCTATCCTACCAAAGGTGGTTGTTTGTAACACTTGAAAACTACTAATTACTTAAAATAAATACATGTTTATTAGTAGCTCCAGCGCTAATAATGTTAGAGTCAGAGCTAATAAAATTATCACCAGAGCTAAATTATGTGCAGTGGTGCTTAAAAGTTTGTGAGATCTTTATAATTTTCTATATTTCTGCATAAATATGACCTAAAACATCATCAGATTTTCACACAAGTCCTAAAAGTAGATAAAGAGAACCCAGGTAAATAAATGAGACAAAACTATTATAATGGGTCATTTACTTTGTAGTTGTTTTTTTGTCCCCAGGTGTCTAGCCCCATCTGATGTTGTGTATGTCTTGCTTTCTCCCCATCCTCTGTTTCTGTCTTCATAGGGTTTGTGTTTTCCTTGGTCTCTGGCTCCATCTTGTGTCGAGTTCATGTCTTTTGTCTGCCTACTCCCCAGTCTCAGTCCCGTCCCTTCTGTCTGATTACCCTATTCCCTACACCTGTGAACCTGACAGGTGTTGTGTGTTAGTCCTCGTCAATATTTGTATTTAAGCCTGTGTGTTTGTATTACCCCTCGTCCTGACATTGTCTTCTGTCTGCTGGTGATGACCGTGAGTCCTGCCTGTTCGTCCATGTTTGTTTTGTTGCCCTGTCAGCTCTTTTCTTAATAAATTCTTTATTTTATATTTACCATGAGTCTTCGCCTGCTTGCCTGCACCACTAGGTTCACCAGCACCAGCCCGTTGTGACATGTTTATTGAGGAAAATGATCCAATATTATTGATATTGATATATTATTGATTTTGATCCACTATGAGAAGGTGCTATTTATAAGACTGTTTGTTGCAGCTCCTCAGACTGACAAAGTCTTTTGGATAAAAGACAAAATGTTTCAAAAAAAGAAGAACCCGTCCAGAGGAGAAGACTCAACCTGTTAGATTTACCTGGATCCCTGAGCATGCACCAGGACGTTTCATGACATGCTTTCTTTATTACCAATTTCAGAAGTCAAAATTTAAAGAACTTATGGTGCCGCAATCAAAATGAGTCATCCATGTTTGCAGGTAATTACTGTATGTCATTTTATCTACAATATAAAATATTTTTTTTTCAATCAGTCATAATGTGAAAATTAACGTGATATAATTTTGCATCAATAGTGGCAAAAAGCTGTAAATATTAATTTCCACTTGCATATATTGTTAGGAACAAAATTGAAAACAAAGTAAAACCAGGAGTGGTCATGTCTCAACCAGGACACAACCCACGATTTGAAGACCACTGGTCTAAGAAGAGCTGGAATTGTTCCGAGGTGACAAAATACAGTCATTTCATTCAGGGTGGTCCAATTAGTCACCATGTTACTCTTAAAACGCTCAGGAGTTCGAATAGTGACTCTAGGGTTGTGGTACTCACAGTGAGGGCTGGTTCGTCAGACCCTGAGCTACAAGTTGCAGGACGGCCAGTTCTGCAAGCTGCTGAGCTGGTGAGGATCCTCCAGGCGTCAACTTTCCACTCAGGTAGTCCTCCTGGAGCTACAGCAACACAGAGATGTTGTAGAAGTGAAAATGAAACGTACGCAAAGAAGCCTGCTGAAGTCTTCTGTCACCTGCTGATAATGAAAGTCCACGTAGAGGTCGTTTCTAAAGGACAGGGGGTTTCCCCAGCTGATTCTCCTCACAGACAAGGAGATAGATTCATCATCCAGCAGGAAGTCAAACACATACTCTTTAGCATGAAGGGGGCGCACCATCCCATCTGACAAACACAAAGCAAACATTTGAAACGTGCAGACGCTGATCTATTTACATCATTTATCATCTGTTCGTGTGTTCAGGCTCAGAAAATATGCTTGTTTGTTCACAAGTGGCATAAAAGTACTTAAAGTATGGAGCTTCATCACATTTAAGCTCTAGTTTCTACAATTACTTATTACGTGATCTCAAAACAACAAACATGTCTTGTTTAAAAAAAATCTGACTTTTTTAGTAAGGCTGCCAATCACATGCTCTGTGGGGAAAAAATTAATAAAGCTCAAACTTCTTTACGACAACTTTCCATCAAGGTGGTGCATTTCAGTTTAAAGGAAATATTTAGATCATTTGAAAAAGGTGGAAATGTCAAGTCCTCAGCTGTAGATGGTCTGTTTGGAGACATATTGGTTAGTTCTGGTTGACTAAATGTGTTACTGAATGGTCAGAGTGAGGCCAAACCAGTGAGATGTTACCATCCTGCAGCAGCTTTAATGTGAAACATGCCCCATTAGCTGACGTGTTAAACTCCACAAATATCTTCTGAAATGTCCATTTGACTACAAAGATCCAAGTGCTCTCAGCTGCTGCTGCCTCAGGTCCCCTCTGAGAGCTGAGGGGACCTGAAACATCTGTAAAAATGTGTTCAACATCTGCAGAGAAAACTACACTGCTCTACTTAAACACACCACTGGGAGGAGATGACAGTTTAGTGACACAGTAGTCCCTCGCTACTTCACAGTTCATTTATCGCGGACTCGCTCTATCGCGGTTTTTCAAAATAAAATTGGACATGACACACAACTGACTGATTGATGGACGAGCTGCACGATCAGCATGGATTCTTTATTTGAAATAAATTATTTTAAATTATTTAGCACGTGCTGCACCTCTGTGCAGCCCACACTGCAGGATAAACTTCCTGCTGCAGCTGATCAGCTGTTCTCCATGCAGATCGGAGAAGTGGGCGTGGCCAAGAACGCTTGCAGATGGCAAAAAGCAGAGGAGGCAGGGAGATGAAATCATGACATGCTATGCACTTTTAGTGCTTTACAGTTTAGAAACATTGTTTAGAATATTGCAAGATGTGGGAAGGGTTTAAAATGCATATATGGGAGTGGTGGTGCAGAGGTTAGAGAAGGTGGGCCTGCGATCGAAAGATTGCCAGTTCAAGCCCGGTACCAACAACATCTAAAATGTGGGTGGGGTAGGTGAAGCACCCACACCTGCCCCCACCCTCATTCGCCCCACTCTGGGCCCATGAGCAAGGCCCTTATCCCCCACCATCTGCTCCTCGGGGTGTCCTAGATGCAGCTCTCTGCTCCACAGAGGCTGTGGTAGCTGAGTGAAGCTGACACCCCACCCACTTCCAAAATTAAAGCAAATAGTCTGAATGGTTAGTGCTCCGTTAGTGCTGGTTTGTGCCGTTAAAATTTTCGTTTGTGCTGCTTTGGTTTATGAGATATTAAAAGTTATAATTTTGACCTGTGATAGACGCTCAGGCGCGTTCACGCGTCCTTTATAACCGCAATCAGGTACTAAAAGGAAACATTTACGACAGTTGTGTTTTTGTTGTCAAATCTGATCCACACAATTACAGCTGGAGCGCGCGCCCGCCTTAAGTAAACGCTCTGCCCTGACGTGTGCGTGAACGCGCCTGAGGACGCGTGAACGCGCCTGAGCGTCTATTACAGGTCAAAATTATAACTTTTAATATCTCTTAAACCAAAGCAGCACAAACGACAATTTTAACGGCACAAACCAGCACTAACGGAGCACTAACCATTCAGACTATTTGCTTTAATTTTGGAAGTGGGTGGGGTGTCAGCTTCACTCAGCTGGCTGTGGTAGCTCGGTGTCTGTGGTTGCATCAGGAAGAACATCTGGTGTAAAAATAACTGCCAAGTGTTCGTGCGACTTAGTTCACTGTGGCGACCCCTAACACAGGGAGCAGCCGAAAGAAGAAGAAGAAGAAAAAATATATATATATACATATATATAAATACTAACTACTACTTGTACTCCTACTTGGCGGATTTTCAATTATTGCGGGTCTTCAGGGTACAGATCCCCCGCGATAAATGAGGGACTACTGTAAATAAAAATGTTTAAAGTAATCAACAACTACTGTACATGCAAATATTAACTTTATTCTTGTTATTTCTCTGTTCTATTAAAAGTTGTCATTTGTGACATGTGAAAACTACTAATTTCTCTAAAGACAGCTAACTGCCAAATGCTTTAATGATAATGCACATTGTCAACATAAAACTTTAATGAAGTTAACAGATTTACCTTGAAGTCTTCTGGCAAGAACAGAAAACTCATTGATTTCTGTGGGTTCTAATATTCCCATATCTTTACACACATCTGTTACCACATCTACTGCCATCTATAATAAGATAAAAAGGTAAAACCATGAAAAACATTTATCAACTGAAAAGAAATGGGTCTGACTTTTCTGTTTAAGACGTAAATAAATTTTACACTGAAGCTGCGAATCTTGACAGGAAAATCGACTCGTCCTGGCAGCTGGACAGGAATACGCCGAGAAGATTTTCCAGCCTGCAGAAACCAAAGACACACTTTCATTATCAGCTGTGGGTGTGTGCTAAGCTAACATGCTAAGTAGCTAACGTAATATCAGTAGCATTGTAACAACAGCAGAGCAGAACACATGCAAAGTTACACAATCCTAATACTCAGCCACATGCAGAGCATTTGTTGAATTTGTATTAAACTTCTGCTTGTGTCAGTATACTGTATTCAAGCACAGACTCACCTCACAACAGAGTACTGTAGCTTGCAAAATGAAAATCACGCCTTCACTTGTCTGAGTAAATAATTCAACTTACCAGAATGGCCTCCATCTCAACATGGGAGGGCATATTGCGACGTCCGCCAAAAATGACTGACCGCTGGAGGTTATCTTGACATATACAAGCCAGCTCTGGAGAAGAAACAATGGTCTCCATGAAACATGAATAGAAATACACTTAAGAGACGCTTTCATAATTAACTTTTCCTTCTCTACCTTGGTATGGATGCATGCGATCCTGAGAAACGTTTTGCAGATGTTGTGTGAAAAAACTTTGTAGGATATCAGAGCAGGGGAAAAAGCCGGTTATCAGGTTTAGCAGCCGCCACCCAAAGGTGCAACTGGATCTGCAGAGACCAAGACCATGTGAAGATATTAGCTAAATTATTCAGTCAAGTTAAAAATGTCTGACGTAAAATTGAAAGGTACTGCTGCAAGACAGCTACTGTCAGAAAGTCTCATTTATTATTTATCAGCTTTCTTCAATATTAATCTGGGATTTACAGTGCTTTTGTCATAATCTAGGGTTTGACAAATTTGATAGTTTAATCTCAGTTTATCCCTCTTATCATTTACCCTTTGTTTGTTTTTGAACTTTAAATACTAAAATCTGGACTTTAATAAGAAAGTCTTTCTCATATTTGCCTAAAAATCCAGCTGAAATTCTACAGAATCTGTGGGGGTGGCCATGATAGAAAATTAAACTCAATGAACTTGATGAAGCGAATTACGTCCATTGACCCAAACTTTGCTGAGCCAGTGGTTGAGTTGGTGATTCCAACCTCATCAGGTGAGCAAAGAGAGGGGACAACACCAGAAACACTCTTCTTCAGACAGGCAGATGGCCTCAAACTGAGTAAAACTACAAGTTGTATCACCAAAGTACATTCTCATTAATCCAGGTATAAATCCAACAATGTTCAGTCACAACATACAAGTTGTTTCCAAATAAACCCAAAATAAAAAACTTGAGTTGTGAAAGACAAAATTTTGTGGTGCTTGAATGTTTGTGAAGTCTTTATAATTTTCTATATTTCTGCATGAATCGGACCTAAACATCATCAGATTCTCATACAAGTCCTAAAAGTAGATAAAGAGAACAAAGTTCAATAAATGAGACAAAAACATTATACTTAAGCATTTATTTATTGAGGAAAATGATCCAATGTTACATATTTACGATGGTAAAAGTATGTGAACCTTTGCTTTCAGTATCTGGTGTGCCCCCCCCCCCCCCCCCCACCACCACCACCACCACCACGTGCAACAATAACTGCAACCAAACGTTTCCAGTAACTGTTGATCAGTCCTGCTCACCAGCTTGGAGGAGTTTTCTCCATTCCTCTGTACAGAACAGCTTCAACTCAGGATGTTGGTGGTTTCCTCACATTAACTGCAGCTTCAGGTTCTTCCACAACATCTGGATTAGATTAAAGTCTGGACTTTGACTTGGCCATTCCAGAACATGAACTTTCTTCTTCTTGAAAATTCTTTGGTAGAAGGACTTGTATGTTTAGGGTCATTGTGTTGCTGCATGACCCACCTTCTCGGCTGGGATGAGAATCAGCACCTCCAAATCTGAGGTCATGGTCCTCAACTGGAAAAGGGTGGATTGCTCTCTCCAGATCGAGGGTGAGGTTCTGCCTCAAGTGGAGGAGTTCAAGTATCTCGGGCTTTTGTTCACGAGTGAGATTGACAGACGGATTGGTGCAGCATCTGCAGTATTGTGGACTCTGTACCGGTCCGTTGTGGTGAAGAGAGAGCGGAGCTGTAAGACAAAGCTCTCTGTTTATCGGTCGGTCTTTGTTCCTCCCCTCACCTCTGGTCATGAACTCTGGGTAGTGACAGAAAGAATGAGATCATGGATCCAGGAGGTTGAAATGAGTTTCCTCTGCAGGGTAGCTGGACTCTCCCTTAGAGTTAAGGTGAGAAGTTCAGTGATCAGGAGAGACTCGCAGTAGAACCACTGCTCCTCCACATCGAGAGGAGCCAGATGAGGTGCTTGGGGCATCTGGTAAGGATGCCCCCTGGATGCCTCCCTATGGACGTGCTTCGGGCATGTCCGACTGGGAGGAGACCCCGGAGAAGACCCAGGACACGCTGGAGGGACTATGTCTCTCATTCGGCCTGGGAACACCTTGGAGTCCTCCCAGAAGTCCTCTCCCAAGCTTTAATCAGCATGTGACGATTCCGACACGTGGAGACCGCACGCTGGACCGTGTTTACACGAACGTAAAAGATGCATACAAAGCCGAACCCCGCCCCCACCTAGGACTGTCAGACCACATCTCAATCTTCCTGGCTCCTGCTTACATGCCCCCGCTGAGACGCTCCAGACCGGTTCAAAAGAAAGTTAAATGTTGGATCCAGGACAGTGGCCCCATACTGAGAGATTGTTTTGAACGAACAGACTGGCAGGTTTTCAGAGAAGCTGCTGAAAATGGAGGTTCGCTTGATCTTGACCAATACACATCCTCAGTTCTGGGTTACATTAGTACATGTACTGACACAGTCTCCACTATCAGAAATGTTAAAAGCTACCCAAACAGAAAACCTTGGCTGAATGCAGAGGTGCGTACCCTGCTGGAAGCCAGGAACACTGCCTTCAGGTCTGGAAACTCAGAGGAGCTGAGTAGGACAAGAAAAGAGCTGGTTGCTGGTATTAAGAGGGCCAAGGCCACATATGCAAAGAGGATCGAGGGTCAATTCATCTCACAAGACCCTCGGAGCATGTGGAGGGGCATTAAGTGCATAACAGATTATAAAGGAAGGAGTGAACAATGCCCCAAAGACCCATCTCTGCCTGATGCCCTCAACAAGTTCTATGCACGCTTTGAAGACCCGAACAGACCACCCAGCACCAGACTCACCTCGCCACCGGATGAAGAGCATCTCAGCGTGACCTCAGCAGAAGTAAGGAGTACCTTCAGGAGGATTAATCCGCACAAAGCAACTGGCCCAGACAACATCCCCGGAAAAGTGTTGAAGGAATGTGCTGATCAGCTCTGTGAGGTGCTGGCAGACATCTTTAACACCTCACTTACCCTGGAGACAGTTCCCACCTGCCTGAAGACTGCCACCATCATCCCAGTCCCAAAAAGCTCTACAGTGACTGGTCTGAATGACTATCGGCCAGTGGCCCTCACCCCGATAGTCGCTAAATGCTTCGAAAAACTGGTCATGACTCACATCAAAACAACCATCAACATCAACGAGGACCCTCATCAGTACGCATACCGTGAGAACCGATCAACAGAGGATGCAATCTCCTCTGTGGTCCACACTGCACTCAACCACCTGGAGCAGAAAAACTCTTACGTCCGTATGCTCTTTGTGGACTTCACATCCGCCTTCAACACCATGATCCCCCAAACCCTGATGGACAAACTATTCACACTAGGACTAAGCCCCTCCATCTGCAACTGGGTACTAGACTTTTTAACAAACAGACCACAGTTAGTGAGGATCCACAACCTCTCCTCCTCCACCATAACCCTCAGCACTGGCTCTCCTCAGGGATGTGTGTTGAGCCCCCTCCTGTTTACTCTGCTCACATATGATTGTGCAGCTACCCATCCAGGCTGTCACATTGTAAAGTTTGCAGATGATACAGCGGTGGTGGGATGCATCACAAACAATGATGAGTCCAGCTACAGGCAGGAGGTGGAACACCTGGAGAGCTGGTGCAGAGAGAATAACCTTCACATCAATGTGAAGAAGACAAAGGAGATGATTGTGGACTTCAGAAGGAACAAAAACACCTACACCCCCCTGAACATAAGAGGATCTGCGGTGGAAGTGGTCTCCAGCTACAAGTACTTGGGTGTACACATGAATGACAACCTCAGCTGGAGCAACAACACCACCAGCCTGATCAAGAAAGCTCATCAGAGACTCTACTTCCTCAGACGGCTGAGGCGAGCTGGTCTGGGAAGCTCAGTCCTCACCTCCTTCTACAGGTGTGCAGTGGAGAGCATCCTGTGCTCGAGCATCAATGTGTGGCATGGAGGCTGCACAGCTGCAGAAAGAAAAGCTTTGCAGAGAGTGGTGAAGGCTGCACAGAAATCTGTTGGAATCAGCCTCCCCACCATCACAGACATCTACACCTCCAGATGCAGGAAGAGGGCCACCTGCATCATGAAGGACCCCACCCACCCAGCACACACACTTTTTGCCCCACTCCCCTCAGGAAGGAGGTTAAGGAGCATTAAGTGTAGAACCACTAGACTGAGGAACAGCTTCTACCCTGAGGCTGTTAGACTCATGAATCTCTAACTAGAATAATCACTGTGAAAAACCATATCATGTTGCTGCTGATCTGTTTCATGTTGCTGCTGATCTGTTTCAATGTTGATGTGTTCATGCGTGCACATCTGCTCACAGACTCATGTTCATGTTTGTGGTGATGTTCAATGTTTTATGTTATGAGTGCTTAGTGTATATTTAGTTGATGTTTTTCTTAGTTCATATCTTAGATGTTATTACTGTTTTTCTTATACATTTTATTGTTGGATGTAACTGGGACCCTGTGTACATAATTTCGCTCCACCACATGTACCACATGAGGTGCGAATGACAATAAAGAAACTCTGACTCTGACTCTGACTCTGAGAAGAGCTGGAAGAGGTGGAAAGAGATGTCTGGACCTCCCTGCTCAAGATGCTGCCCCCACGACCCGACTTTGGAACAAGCAGAAGATAATGGATGGATGGATGGATGGATGGATGGATGGATGGATGGTTGGATGGATGGATGGATGGATGGTTGGTTGGATGGATGGATGGATGGTTGGTTGGATGGATGGATGGATGGTTGGATGGTTGGATGGATGGATGGTTGGATGGTTGGAGGGATGGATGGATGGTTGGATGGATGGATGGATGGATGGTTGGATGGTTGGATGGTTGGATGGTTGGATGGATGGATGGATGGATGGTTGGATGGATGGATGGATGGTTGGTTGGATGGATGGATGGATGGATGGTTGGTTGGATGGATGGATGGATGGTTGGTTTTGCAACAAAAATAAAATGGCAAAGTCTGTGTGTCAATTATTAAAAATAGAATTAGAAAAACTAAACAGCCTACAATATTTTTATAGTCTTGTTTGTTTTAGCTAACTTGTTTATCAGATAAGGTATATGGTTACAAGTAGTCAGAGAGTGGACTTGGTACCAGGTCACCTTAGGCCAAAGGACATTGATCAAATGTTGTTGTTTTGTCAAACCTGAAAACCTATTGGACACTCAAATGTTCATTTTTTCTAGGTTAGGATCATATGACAAAAGATGTTGAACATGTTCTAGTTTGTACTATTCTTCAACAGCACCAAAGAAAAGTGCAGTTTGGTTTTAGTCAGACTCAAATGATACAAAGTAACCCTGTGAACTTTAGAGGCCTTTGATAAGTTCTTCAACTGGTTCATAGGTTCAGTGGAAACCACCTTTTAGCACAACTTACTGTAAAAAGCATCAGCCTCCCAGTATGTACAGTACTCTAATGAATGACAAACTCACCTTGTTGGGTTGTTGGTGCTTTGCTTGATGACTTGGCAGTAGATTTCATCTCTCAGCATTTCCTTTTCTTTCCCTAGCTTTACAAAACAGGGAAACTCACTTTAAACCCATAAAAGTCAAACGATGGCCATGTTTACACTGCAGACCATAATGCTCAGTTCAGGTTTTTTGTTGAGATCCAAGTTTCTGTGTTTGTTCACATTATGCAAAGTTTCTGCAGATATCAGCTAGTCACATGTAACGTGTTTTAATGCCAGTTATGCCATTAGAAACATTTAGTGTCATCGGCAATGGTCTATGGAATGCATAAACTTTAAACTTTACTTAAACAAAATTCAATTTTCAATGCCTTTTTTGATGCCATCACTGAATGCCTACACTACGCACAGCTTTGTGTTTTGTTTTACAGAAGATTGTCATGTGCCTTAGTTTTATAAGCTTTTCTTTTCAATTCAAGCTTATTTAAACCAGCATCACAGAACCAAAAGAAGTGGGGAGCATCAACGTGTGTGTGTGTGTATTTTTACTGACACTCGATTTACTATATACTCTCATTTGTCTATACTGTATTATTATAGAGTTATTTTATTGGGTACAATGACATGAACAAGAGAAAATGAAAGTGAGTGTGGAGCCTTTCATCAGAGACCATGAGTTTGTGCTGTATCTCAGATTATGTCCATCAAAATGAAGTTAGCAGATAAAACATGATCAAACCCAGTGTGAAGTTCTGGATAGGTGCAACAACTGTAAGGAACCTGGATTACTGCCCCACGTGTGTGTCTTTAGACCTACTTCACCACTGAACGTGATGGACTTGTTTGGTGCAAACAACAGAAGAACTTGTGCAAAAGCATAAAAATCACTTTTTAAATTACACAACACAAATGTGGCACATTGGATCTGTAACTCTTCATTTATGAAGACAGTGGGGACCAACAGCAGGCGGCAGCCATTCTCTACATTTTTTGTTTTCTAGCCACTTTAAACTGAGTCTGCATTTACTCATTTTCTTTCTGCTCCCGAGGTTTTATCGTTTTCCCTCCAACACGTGATCTTCTGACCCTTGAGCACTGACCAGCCAGAAACAATTGGTGGTGCCACGTTACTCTAAAGTGACGCTGACATCCCCTCCATGAGTGAGCCAAGGACCTTGACCTTGACCTTGACCTTATCGTGGTGGAGGAGTTTGTGCGCCTGATTGATCCTGGGAGCTAGGCTGTCGGGGGCAATTGTAATTGCCCCTGGTAGGGTCCAAAATTGCTCATCTAATTTTTCTTGAAAACAAAAAAACAAGTAAACAATGCCACTGAGATTCAAATTTAATGTTTTTTAATGCTATTTAAGGCTTTACATTTTGATAAATCCATTTCATGACAAAGTTTTTTTAATGCCTCACAGAACCCCAGGTCTACAGCCCTGAAGTGATCTGGATGTGCGGAAAAAGATGACATCACAGTCAGCTGTGGCGTATAATTAAATGAATGCTACATGTGTCACTGTGTATGTATCAATTCTTAGGATGATATGCAACAAGAGCCATAAGGTCATTTTGAAAAACCTCTGATATGTATCTATTTTAGAACCAGGGTCTGATTTGTGATGTTCGGTCATAAAAACAGATATGTCTTACAGAAGCCAAACACTCAGATTTGGGTGAGGTTTGTCTGCAGTGTGAACGTAGCCTAAATGATCAAATCTGAGTAAGAGCTCTCACCAGCAGAATAAAACTCAGGCATTCCACTTGAGTAGTACTTTTTTTCATTGGAACGTCGCCCATAAACTGCATCAGGTCTACAAAGACAGAGAAATAAGAAAAATGTAGAGGAACACATACACACTCATTTAAATGAACAGCACAGTATGATGATGTTGATGATGATGATAATAATAATAATAATAATAATAATGATAATAACTCACTGATGAAGCATTCTACAGCCAAATCATTGATTTCAGGATCGTTGTAGAGAATCAGTGACTCTTGGATGGGTACCTTCATATAACCAAAGCACAACACATTAAACTTTTAATTTTCTGTTTCACAAACTTGGCTTCTGACTTTGAATTCAAACAAAAGATGCAACTATCCTGAATAATTGTACAAAACTGGCTGGTTCATGCTTTTCTCTCACTCTAAATGGAAAGTGTTTACACTAATTTGAACTGTACAGACACCTGATCAAGTGAGCAACTAGATCAAGTGAGCAACTAGATCAAGTGAGCAACTAGATCAAGAGAGCAACTAGACCACCCACATTTTCAATTTTATTTTCCCCCTTGTCCTGTCCTTCATTGTGACACTTAGAATTATTGTGAGTGTCAAAGTGATGCCCAACAGATTTACTTTCACAAGCAGAGCATTATGGCTGGCCTTAATGCTCTGCTTAAAATATAAATAAAACTTTATTAGAATTTGCTTTGGGTTTGTTCCAGATGTAATGGACACGGGGATGAAAAACATAAAAGATAAAGCAGAAAAGTGAGAGAAGAGTTAAAATGTAAAGAAGGAGATAGGGATAGAGGCGAGAGAGAGGGATAAAGAGAACACAAATCAATACCACATTTTCAATTTTTAAAGTGGAGGTGCAAATATTTATGTTTGTTCTCCAGTTTTTTTCCATTTAAATATAATATGCCATCTCTCTTAGCAAAAAAACAAACAAAAAAACAAACAACAACAAAAAACCCAGACATGCAGAATCAGAATAAACATTATTGGAATTGCACCGAGGTACAACGCGAATATGTACGTACAGTCGTCCGAAAGATGGGCGGAGTGCACGAAGCTGCAACTACAGGAGAGCGCGGCCATTTTATTCTTATCAGATAATAATCTTAGATATGAAAAGGGGGAGAAACATGAGGGTAGATAGTGGTATTACAAAACAAGATCTTTCACATCTTTTCTATCAGGACACGATTTGAGACATAAAAACTCTACCAGCAGCTCAATTAAAACATGATTACATTTGCATTTGACATCGAGGTGTTGAGATTTGTCCATGAGCTTTTTTCAGATCAGCCACAGTTTCTGAAGATGTTGTTTCAGCCAGCAGTTCTAATAAGTTTGCACAGAGAGTTCTCGGGGGGGGGTGAGATATAGAGAAATATGAGAAAAGAAGCTTGAGTAGTTTTAAAAAAAGTGAAAACCTCTTTCTTTTTATAAAGTCTATGTAAACCTCTTCACGTGGTAGAGGTTTGGGGTGGGTGGTGGTAGGGAATTTTTGGTTAAAGGTTATGGATGTTTTTAACTACTATGGCTGAGTATGTTAACTCTGCCCATGAACCATATGTTTGGGTTAGCAGAGAGAACGGGATGAGGAGCTGGGTGAGGCTGCAGCTGGCACTCCAATGATGCTCCGAGTCTGCGAAGCCCCCAGTATACTCCCGCGTACGTCCATACGCAGAGGTACACACGTCCATACGCAGAGGCACGAGCGTACCGCCCCAGTTCATGTCCGTGCAAAGCTCAAATTTTTACGACTGCATACGTGTATGTGGTGTCGCACAATAAACTGCCCAGCAACAGACTGTTTTGTATGTGACACCAATGTATTAAATTCCCCTTCTTCATCCCTGATCTGGCCATTTCTTTTGTTTTTTTTTGCCAAGAGGCAGTGATCTCTTCCTCCTCCGTTGATGCCATGACTGAAATGGTGAGAAATGAAGGAATTTGTCATGAGCGAATTAAACTCAGGTCCAGCGTGGCTGCGGGAGGGTCTGGAGATTTCTTGGTGGGCTGTTCTGATGTGTGGGCTGTAGAGCCAGCGCTGTTTAAAAAAAAAATTTTTTTTGATATTTTTATTAACATATAAACACAGAACACCGCTGCGGCTGAGGCTGCCAGCGCTTGCTTTTTTTTCTTTTTTCCGACCTGTCAATCAATCCAGTAGGCGTGTCAGCAAATGACCAATCAGCGACCTCAATTTGTCCCAAAGGTAAATGCCCCTTGTCTGTGAAGCTGCTCTGCAGCTGCTCAGGGTGTATGCTGGAGTTTAATGACTGAACCCTCTGCATACAGTACACGCGTACGTACGCGTGAACGGACGTACGCGGCAGTATACTGGGGGCTTGAGCTCGGCTGAACTGATAAGAGTATAACAACAAGCTGCACACATGACTCGTGGCAGATTCTCATGACTGGTCTTGCCATACCATACCATACCATACCATACCATACTATATACCATACCATACCATACCATACCATTTTATTTATAAAGCACTTAAAACAGCGACAAGGCCAACCAAAGTGCTGTACAAACAGAAACACAGGCAACACACAAAGCAACATGCAAAATGAAGTTAAATCAAAATATAGACATAAAAATGATGCAGATAATAAATATAACGACTAACGTGTGGAGCATACAGGTTCAAAACACAGATCATCTGGTGTTGAAAGCTACGGAATAGTAGTGGGTTTCTAAACGGGATTTGAAAACCGAGAGGGAGGGAGCTTGTCTGACAAGCAGAGGTAACTCATTCCAAAGTCTTGGTCCTGCAACAGAGAAGGCCCTGTCACCTCTGCGCTTAAGACGAGTTCCTAGAACTGTGAGGAGCAACTGGTCCGCTGACCTCAGGGAACATGGTGGGACATATGGCTGTAGCAGATCAGAAAGATGGGGGGAGCAAAACTGTTCAGCGATTTGTAGACATACAGTAGTATTTTGAACAGGATTTGAAAGTGAACCAGTAGCCAGTGCAGTGAGGCCAAAACTGGTGTAATGTGCTCTCTTTTGCCTGTACTGGTTAAAAATCGGGCTGCTGCATTCTGGACCAGTTGTAGTCGTGCAATGGAGGTCTGACTGATACCAAACAGGAGCGAATTGCAGTAATCAAGCCTAGATGTAATGAATGCATGTATTACTGTCTCCAGGTTCTTTTTGGACAATATGGGCTTCAGTTTAGACAGCCGCCTCAGTTGGAAGAAACATGATTTAACAATCATGTTTACATGATTGTTAAGTTTCAGGGAATGGTCCATTATCACTTCCAGTTTAGTGACTCTTTGTTTTTTTGACAGGGTTAGAGCGGAGAGGTCGATGCAGTGGTTCGTGATCGTGTAATTGGGAGGGAACAACATGACTTCAGACTTCTTTTCAATGAAACTTAGGAAATTTAAAACCATCCAGTCCCTGATGTCAGCCAGGCAGTCGAGCAGAGGTTGAATAGAGGATGTACCATTGTGTCTTAGGGGGAAGCAAATTGACAGTCGTATAAGTGAAAGGGTATGTTGTGTTTTAGTTCAACTCTGTCTGCTTAAAGACTATGGATCTTGTCGCTCCTATTAAAATAAAAAAAAATAAAAACACAGAGCAGAACCTTGGCTGAGTGATGTCACCAAGGCCGTTAGGCAGCAATGTAGGAGGGAGAAGCACAAGTGGAGGAAAGACAGGCTGCAGGTCTCTTTTCAAATACTTAAAGAGAGTTGGCACCGCTATCAGAAAGCAGTGAAAGCTGCTAAATCCAAATACTTCTCTGATATCATAACCTCAAACTCTTACAACCCACGTGTCCTCTTCTCTACCCTAAACTCTGTTCTCCACCTCACTGAACCATCACCTCTGGAAGCCTCGACTGAGCTGTGCGACAACTTCTTACATTTCTTTTTGGAAAAAATTGCGACCACCCGGGCTCTCATTTCCCCTCCAACTCATGACCCATCCATCCCACCTCAATCTGTAGCTCTATTGACCATTTTGAACCCATCACCCTATCTTCTCTAGAGCAGGTCATGTGCAGCTTGAAACCTTCTGGTCCCCCGTTTATGTGGTTCCCCCCTTGACTACTAAAGAGGTTTTTCCTACTCTAGGTCCGTCCATTCTTACTATAGTAAACAGTAGTTTATCCACTGGCGTGGTGCCAAAATCCTTTAAACACGCTGCTGTCCAGCCTCTCCTAAAAAAAACAAACCTTGACCCCTCAGTCGTGTCCAACTTGCCGCCAGTCTCCAGACTCCCATTTGCTTCTAAAATACTGGAGAAAATAGTTGAGTCCCAGTTGAAGTGCTTCCTGGAAGATCACGCCATCTTAGAGCTATTCCAATCTGACTTTAAACCTCTCCATAGCACTGAAACTGCCCTGCTGAAGGTCTCTAATGACATTTTCTTAACCACTGATACCGGTGATTCTGTGCTGCTTGTCCTATTGGACCTCACAGCCGCCTTTGACACCATTGACCATGAGATCCTTGTTGCTAGGTTGGAGCAGTGGGTGGGCATCACAGGATCAGCCCTCAATTGGTTCAGATCTTACCTCACTGATGGATCCTTTTGTGTCTCCATCAAGGATTTTAGTTCTGTAGCGGCAGAGCTTAAATGGAGGGTTCCGCAGCAGTCCATCCTGGGTCCCCTCTTTATATACCTGCTGCCACTTGGTGCTATTTTCTGAAAACACAACATACCCTTTCACTTTTACGCCGATGACTGTCAAATTTACTTTCCCCTAAGACATAATGGTACATGCTCTATTCAACCTCTGCTTGACTGCCAGGCTGACATCAGGGACCAGATGGCTTTAAATTTCTTAAGTTTCAATGAAAAGAAGTCTGAAGTCATGTTGTTCCCTCCCAATGACACGATCACAAACCACTGCATCGACCTCTCCGCTCTATCCCTGTCAGCAAAACAAAGAGTCACTAAACTGGGAGTGATAATGGACCCTTCCCTGAAACTTAACAATCATGTAAACATGATTGTTAAATCATGTTTTTTCCAACTGAGGCGGCTGTCTAAACTGAAGCCCATATTGTCCAAAAATAACCTGGAGACGGGAATACATGCATTCATTACATCTAGGCTTGATTACTGCAATTTGCTCCTGTTTGGTATCAGTCAGACCTCCATTGCACGACTACAACTGGTCCAGAATGTAGCAGCCCGATTTTTAACCAGCACAGGCAAAAGAGAGCACATTACACCAGTTTTGGCCTCAATGCACTGGTTACCGGTTCACCTTTGAATCCAGTTCAAAATACTACTGTATGTCTACAAATCGCTGAACAGTTTCGCTGCCCCCATCTCTCTGATCTGCTACAGCCGAATGTCCCACCACACCCCCTGATGTCAGCAGACCAGTTGCTCCTCACAGTTCCAAGAACTCGTCTTAAGCGCAGAGGTGACAGGGCCTTCTCTGTAGCAGGACCAATACTTTGGAACGAGTTACCTCTGCTGGTCAGACAGGCCCCCTCCCTCTCAGTTTTCAAGTCTCGTTCAAAAACCCCACTACTATTCAGTAGCATTCAACACCAAATGATCTGTGTTTTGAACCTGTACGCTCCACACTGGTTTGTCGTCATTATCTGCATCATTTTTATGACTATATTCTGATTTACTTAATTTTGTATATTGCTTAGTGTGTTACCTGTTGTTCTGTCTGTGCAGCACTTTGGTTGGCCTTGTCACTGTTTTAAGTGCTCTATAAATAAAATGGTATGGTATGGTATGGTGTTTCTGAAAAATAGCACCAACTGGCAGCAGGTATAAAAAGAATAGGAGGGGACCCAGGATGGACCCCTGCGGAACCCCCCATTTGAGCTCTGCCGCTGCAGAACTAAAACCTTTGATGGAGACACAAAAGGATATGTCAGCGAGGTAGGATCTGAACCAATTGAGGGCCGACCCTGTGATGCCCACCCACTGCTCCAACCTAGCAATGAGGATCTCATGGTTGATGGTGTCAAAGGCGGCTGTAAGGTCCAATAGGACAAGCAGCACAGAATCACCGGTATCTGTGGATATGAAGATAAATGGACTGTACTTATATAGCACCTTTCTCTTTTTTCAAGATACTCAAAGCTCTTTACAACACAATCTGTGTCCTCATTTACTCATTCATACAGCACTCTACTAGATCTCTACAAAGCTAATTGAACAAATCTAAAGAGACTAATCAGTGCAGATCACATTCATACACTGATGGGACACACTTAGAGGCTATGAGGGGTTCAGTGTCTTGCCCAGGGACACTTCGACATGTGACTGCTGATGGATATCATTAAAGACCTTCAGCAGTGCAGTTTCAGTGCTGTGGAGAGGTTTAAAGCCAGATTGGAATAGCTCTACCATACCATACCATACCACTTTATTTATAAAGCACTTAAAACAGCAACAAGGCCAACCAAAGTGCTGTACAGACAAAACAACAGGTAACACACAAAGCAAAATACAAAATGAGGTAAATCAGAATATAGACAAAAAACGATGCAGATAATGACGACAAACCAGTGTAAAGCATACAGCATCAAAACACAGATCATCTTGTGTTGAAAGCTATTGAATAGTAGTGAGTTTTTAAACGGGACTTGAAAACCGAGAGGGAGGGGGCCTGTCTGACAAGCAGAGGTAACTCATTCCAGAGTCTTGGTCCTGCTACAGAGAAGGCCCTGTCACCTCTGCGCAAAAGTTCAGAGAAAACACTTAACTCACCAGGGACGAGCCAGGTCTCTGTAACAAACATGAAGTCCAGTTCATTGGAGTAGAAATAATCATTTAAGATGAAAGTTTTATTTGTCAGCGACCTCACATTCAGCAGAGCAATCTTTGTAGGACCAGTAGCTGAAGGAAAAGCTGTGCTCTGAGCACAGATCAGCTGTTTCAGATTTCTGGAGTTTGAACCGCGCCTCCAAGGACCAGAGACGTCGCAGCTGTGCGCGCACCCGCGGCGCGAGCCAGGCTCGACTACGGGGATCTGGCAGTATCCAGCAGGATCAGCAAAGCACCCGGACAGGTGAATATCCAGCAGATGGTTGGCAGGAGATGATGCAGCAGAAGGTCTGGAGTTGGTTAAGTTCCACTGGATACGTCCGAAACCACTGCGGCCGCACGCTGCGCGTACAAGGCCCGGGCACCTGGAGCAAGGTGGAGTTGAGTGGATCAGCGAAGCATCCGGATGGACAGTTTAACATCTGATGGTCAGCAGCAGATGACGAAGCAGCAGAGAGCTTGATGCTGGCTTTAATCCTCACGAGACAGCCGGCAAGTCTTCCACGGCGCCTGGAGCGATGTTTTCGGGCAGGCAGAAATGCCGCACGTTTCAGGTAAACTGGGACATCAACAAGCAAAGGGGGTGGGGGTCCAGAGCCCTGATCAAAGTGGTTGAACAAGGCGGGGTTTGCAGTAGACAACTGTATATTTAAAAGTTGTTGGCGATCATAAACAAGCAGTGAGTTGATGTCACAGAAGAAAAATGACAAAAACAGAAAAAAACAAACAATCAAAACAGACAGAAGTGAACGGCAAGCCACCAGCACCGGCGCCATCTTCTCGGAAGTATTGGTAAGTAAGAAGACAGAGTGATGGGTTCAAAATGGTCAAATAGAGCTACAGATTGAGGTGGGATGGATGGGTCATGAGTTGGAGGGGAAATGAGAGCCCGGGTGGTCGCAATTTTTTGTAAAAACAAATGTAAGAAGTTGTTGCACAGCTCAGTCGAGGCTTCCAGAGGTGATGGTTCAGTGAGGTGGAGAACAGAGTTTAGGGTAAAGAAGAGAACTTGCGGGTTTTGAGAGTTGGCTATAATTATATCAGAAAAGTATTTAGATTTAGCAGCTTTTACTGCTTTCTGATAACGACGCCAACTCTCTTTTAGTATTTGAAAAGAGACCTGCAGCCTGTCTTTCCTCCATTTGCGCTCCACCCTCCTACACTGCTGCCTAACGGCCTTGGTGACATCACTCAGCCAAGGTTCTGCTCTGAGTTTTGATTTTCTAGTTTTAACAGGAACGACATGATCCAGAGCCTTTAAGCAGACAGAGTTGAACTGGGATGTCTTCATGTGTACTTCATGTTAATCTGTGTAACCTGTCCTGAAAATCTGACCTTGCAAGTAAATACAGGTTAAAAATCTTCTGCTGCTGTCGCGTGTGACTCCTTTAAAGTAAGTAAAACAAAGCAAGAATATTTTTCTCCAACAGCATGCCTCTGCTTTAGCCTCTTAGGTTTTGTGTTAGCTCCATACTACATCTCTACGAAGTTAATCTGAACAAATCATCTACAGAGACTAATCAGAGCTTTAGATCACATTCATACATCCATGGGACACACATCGGAGACAATGAGGGGTTTAGTGTCTTGCCCAGTGACACTCCAACATGTGACTGCTGGTGGAATCAAACCCACAACTCTCCCACTGGAAGACGACTGCTCTACATAATCCAATATTATGGCCAACATGTGCAAGCAGTTGGAGATCCCTTTGAGTTGAAAAAGCATCAAGGCTAAAATGAGACTCAGTGTGGCCTGAAAGTAAACAAAATGCTAAATGTACACATTTAGCATGTGATGGGCTTGTGACTTGTCCAGGGTGTCCCCTGCCTCTCGCACTCTGACAGCTAGACATGGGCACCATTGACCCCCGCGACCCAGAAAGAATGAAGTGGATAAAGGTAATGGATGGATGGATGGATGGATGGATGGATAGACAGATGGATGGTGTGCATTTAATTCTGGATCTGCATTTATCTATGTGTTACATTAAAAATGTAGCAAATTGCCAGAATAAACACAGTGCTCTAACAATGATCCAAGTTATGACATCTAAAAAGTCCACTAAACAAACTGGCTACTGGCTTATTTACTGAACTGATAATTACATTTGTGTGTGATTAATTTAGCTATTTATTTTATATTATTTTCTATCTCCCATCATGTCACAGACAGATATGCACACAAATTCAGAGGGGTTGTAAACTCTTACCTCTGTGTGTTGAACTGCTTCTGAAAATATTCTTCCAGTAGCTGGAACAGCCGTAGTCCCAACTCTTTAAACAACAAATCGTAGCACAAAATTAGCCTCACCATCTTGTGTGAGCCTTAACCTTGTGATATGATTCACAGCAATAATAAGCACTGTCTTACATACCTGAAGTATTTAACAGCATACTCAGCCATAGCTGAGAGGCCCTCTAATCCGTGGACTGAGCCCTGAACTGAATTTGGTACTGACTTCTGAAGTAACCCCTGTGCTGAGCTGGGACGTGAGGCCTCTCCTGTAGGGGGCTCTGAATGAGTACTGCCCATGTGTCTGCTGGCTCTGCTGATGGGACGTGGAGAAGTGTTCTCAGGTGGAGTGACAGGCTTTGCAGTCCTCATGCTTTTCCTCCTGTTGTCTCGTCGGTCCAAATGAAGGCCGTGGTAGTCCGGGGCTGCAGATGGCTGTGTGATGTCTTTTGGGAAAAGACCAGAACGTCCCCCAATTGAGCCAAACTGCCAACCTGGTAGAAAATGCAAAACAGATACAGTCAATAGGAAAATGTTGCGGTGACTCCAGTGATGACACTGCACATATCTCATTCTACAAATGACACATCCAGATCATGATCTTACCTGTCTGGGATACTTCCATTGGCAATAATTTGATGACGTCACCTTTACTGAAGCTGAGGAGACTCTTGTCATCAGTTACAAAAGTCTTTAAAGCTACCACATGACCTGAGTCCTGGGAGCAAAAAGAAATGTGTAAACTAAACTAAGCAGAAAGGCATTTGGATTCTATGTAACAAAATTATTGGCATATGATATTACCAAGCTTTGAAGGGAAATGTAATTATATTAACCATGATAAGAAAAATCAGTAAATCCACCTTGATGAGTTCTTTGAGGAACAACTGAATCATGACAGTGATCTGTGGAGCCCTGGATGACTGCAGCACCAGGTTTTCATTCGTAAGCTCCAGTTCCACTTTTTCATCACTCTGAAGATGAACTGACAGAACCTCTGCAAAACTGTGTTTATGAAACATGAACACGTGGTTAATTAGGCAAAGTGACACGAGCAGTGAACATTCACACTAGCTAATGTGGACGTTCCAGTTTTTCTCCTGCAGCTTCGTGACACCACATGGTGCCAACAAGCACACACCCTGTGGACCATTCTCCTAATGAGCTGCAGGAGTAGAAGTTGATGGCTTCACTTTGACGCTGGTGCATTATCTGCCAGTCCAACCGGTAGTTGTGTTCCTAACCACTTGACCATTTTCTGAGTTGTGAAGACTAAACCTGCACTCTCACGTGTTTCACCACTGACTCCTGTGTTCCTCCTGAGCCTTGGACCTCCCTGGTTACATCCTTAGTCTCCTAGCGATTTCTCCAGCCGTTCCTCACCTTCCACCACTTGCCCACCGATTGATGCAGCCTTTCTGGGACTTCATGATTACTGAAACTATTGGAGCCTCAATCCAATGATGATGTTTCCTTCAGTTACAGACAAGTTACAGACAACATCTTGAATCGTCCTCAAGGATCTAAGCCTTCATTATAACCCTTGTCCTTGCTCTCCAGGGTTCCAGTCCCTCCCAGCTGTGTTGCAGCCAGCTGTTGATTGTCACGCTTTGTAAATAAACACTGTTAATTGTCCCTGGTCTTGAAATTGCTCTTTATAGTCACTGTTATCTGGGTACTTGGCAAAAACCTTACAGCTAACCAGGCGTAGTTTCTGTTTTAACACCACTGTTTGTTCAAGCAGTTTAACAGATACATCAGATGAAAAATTTCAGAACCAACAAGAAACAAATATTTATTACATTAGACAGAGATGGATGGTGTGCACGACATGGGGAAAAACTTGCGCCCTCAGTCAGCTGTAGGGTTATGCATATCAGCACATAATAAACACAGTCTGGTTATCACATGTGAAACCATGCATCCAACAGCTGAAGATTGTACCACAACTGGGTCATGATGCAACAAGACAATAAGACAAACGCAGCAGCTACGGCTACAACAAAATAGTAAAAAATAAAAATAAATTAAGGTGTTGCAACAGTCCAAGCAAAGACGAAACCTCAGACTGCTTAAAATGTTGTGCTAGGACTTTAAGAAGAAGACAGAAACTAATGTCTGCAAAAAAATGTCTGTAAAAACAGGGATCTCTGACTACTTGCACTTATTGGTCTTAATATGTTGTTTCTCTATTCTACCAAGTTGGCTGATACATGAAAATTCCAAACTTCATAAAATATTATAGATGTTTATTATATTTTTTACCTAAGGATGTCGCCATTAATTTAGTGGTGCAATGTATTTTGTGGCAACAACACATCAGTTATAGTGAAGAGTAAAACACAAGGGGTCAAGGCTGAAAGGTCAGAACGTGCGACAATAAAGTTGCATATTGTTTTGGCCCTTATGCACAATACATGGGTCAAAACAATCAAATGTGATCAAATAGTGATTTTTATTTTTTTTATCTCTGTAGCTAACACTATATATATATATATATATATATATATATATATATATATA